TCTGCGCTTTATTTCCTTTTTTTGAATAAGATATTGCTTCATTTGTCAGGCTGAAGAGGTTCTTACATGTGGTTAACAAAACAAATTTCCGTCTGGGTGTCCTTATACTACGCAGTTACTTTAATACAGCTGAGCGTTTCACTCTATCTAATCGCGTTTTTACGACTGCCATAGAAACATCGGCCAAGATGAGACGGAGAGTAATCTGTTAGGCTTATACACAGAATACGCGCATGAGAATAGGGTGTATGGGACTGAAACGCAATCTGATCTTTCAGAGCCATATAATTTAGGGACATTTCAAAACGTAGTCTGGGACATCTTAAGACAACATGGTTACTTGGTCAATCCATTAATTGGAAAAAGGATACAGCAGCAGCAGCAGCAAGCACAGCAACAGCATCAGTCCCCATACCAAATGAGGCTGCGCAATTCACCCAAACATTAACCCCTCATCTTATACACAGCCAACTAGTTAACAATCCTCAAGCAGGCGACGCGCTCGAATACGCGCCCCCTCTTAAGAAAAACGACAGAATTATATTTTGTGTGTGCATCTATCACACAAGGAAAGAAACAAATCCGTTCAACTTACACAATCCACAAACAAACATTAAAAAATACTCGGCGGCAAGGAAAAAAGGCGCCGTTCTCTCCTTTCTTCAAGTATACATCAGGCTGCTCTTTCTTGTGAAAACTTGGTTCCCAGGTTCTGTCCTACTCGCTCCATAGGGACGGGTAGGAGAGAACCCTGGGATCGAGGTTGTTTCTTGTGACTTCTCAAAGGGATAAGGACAATCCATCAGTTTTGCTACCGTGATTTATAAAATAGTTTTAAAGAAGACGTGCATACAACTTGTAAATTTTGCTTTAAATTCTTTGGATCGTCCATTTGTAGTGATAGACGGGATGTAAATACACCTTGTTTAAAAAGGCGGATAATGTATGTTAGCTATGCAGTCAAAGAAGTAAATAAGTAACTTTGTGTATTTTTATTTTCTATTTACGTTGATTGTACTATTACCATATTTAAGGTCCCTGTATCACCTCTCGTCTCATAACAGTTGGTCGGGCTTGAAAACGCTTCAGTTAACCCTTGTCAAAACCCCTAACATAGGTGATCATTCTATTTCTCCTCTTGGTAACTCTGCTCAATCAAAAATAAAAGTTGTGACGAAATAGGAAATGCAAATAAAACATTTCTTGATTATTATACAAATTCTCCTCACCAGTACCGAAGATAACATGTACTGAACAGTGTGGAGAATGACACTGGCAATATTTGGGTTAAGTGCTGAGGGTGTGGGTGGGGGTCCATTTGTGTTAGTATTGCTTTCCTTCACACTAACCACATAAAGCGTAAGAAATTTCTAACATATATTTTCACTGGTACAAATAGTTTTTCTCCTTCTCGCTGAGCTCTTGACGTACACAAAGGATAAATGTTGATTGTGCAGCTTTACTTTCCAGCAATAGATACGTCTCTATGACCCTCTATCAGCTCCAAGAAGAAAATAAATATTTCTTCGCTTTTGTTCTATGGTTTCACCTTTGAATGCTATCAGCCCTAGTCTTAACAGTTATAAGTTTATAGAACAATTTTGTAAGTTATTGTAAAAGTATGTTACGTAGCTAACTTTGTAACGCCTTACATTTATATTCGTATTGGGTGAAGTCGGTTACATGACTGAATTAAAGAATTTGTCTTCTGTAAATACTTTTTTCTTTTTCTTTTCTAGTCGTCTCCTACTTATCCTATTTACCTTTCTTTCAATATCCTCGATCCTTTGCTGCGACCGGGAGCGGGCAGTTTTCTACAGATCACAGTACTCTTGTACTGTAACGGAATATGTTAAACATCAACGTCCTAACAACTCACGTGCATGAAAGTTAAAACTACTTAGTTTTGTAAGAATCTTCTGTCTCCTTTGTAAATGGCTTTACCATTTGTATGAACGCTGATTTTTGTCTCTTTTTTAAAAGAACGTTCAAACCTTCTTTTCTGAAGATGAGTATTTTAAAACAACGTAAATCCCTTATGAAACCCCCTTCCCCGTCGTTAATCACCGTCTTAGACGACACACTAGAGAGATTAAGATTCACGTTTACGGCAAACGTCACATTCAAGTTGAGAATTTCTCAGAGAGAAAAATAAGCAGATGAAAACTGTCCTGAACAATTCTTATGGAGAAAGCTGGCTTGAAACTACTTGTTTTGGGGTAGAAGTAATAAACAGTAAACGACAATTAAGAGGAAAACTTGATCACGTGGTGCAAATTCACGTTTGCCGTTTGGCGTAAACGTGAATCTTAATCTCTTTACTGCCCCCTTGTCCCAGCCCGTCCTGTGGCTCGTTTGGTTACGCGAACATCGCATTAATTGTTCCCGCCTCCGGCCGCGTCACGTGACTTCAAATTTCGCGCCAACACTGTGGCCGTTTCACAAAGGGAACAAAATTTTACGGAAACAGCAACATGGAAACGTGAGTATTTTGCACACTATTTTCTTTACTTTTACCTAAAATTTCGAGCCAAGCCCTAGCTTACGCGTGTGCAGACCTCTCCTATTCCCTTTGTTGCAGGCAGCACTAGCGAACCATTGATGTATTTATAGCCTTTAACAGTTCTATGGTTATCAGAGTCGAACGAACTGTTTTAAAAAGAAGGCGAAGAGATTCAAGAGGGCTTTTGTAGGTCTCGGTATTCGCTAAGTTTCTCAAGATTTTCGTTATATATTGAACCAAGTATTGAAAGTATTATGCCGACCATTAAAGAATTTACTTGTCAAGCTTTAAACCATGAGTTATTTTGATGAACAGTTTGCAGGGGTTTCTATATACATGTCAATGTCGACGAGAAAGAGCAAAACAATGTCAACATTTGAAAGAATAGTTTATACAAAAAGTTCTCGTTAAGCTGCGACAAAATTGTTAGGTCAACGGTGATGTGTATGTAATAAATAGGCGAAAATACAAGTCGAAAGGTCGTTTGTGGACACTGGCCGTTAAAGAACTGAAATTAGCCTGAGCGGATTCGCGATAGTCGCGCGCGCATGGATTCTCTCCCTACGCGTAAAAGATTGCCTGAATGGTGGGGCGAAGAAACCAGGTGATCGCTACCAGCCAATAACAACTACCTATTACATCAAAAACAGTAGCTGTAGCTTTGAAAGAAAGCATACATTTTTTTAACCAGATAATATAAAATAAAACGACTAAAAGGGAAGAGCACTTTAATCGTCAGTTAGGACTTGGTAATTCTTCTTCCTTTTACGCAGCTAAATAACTTTTAGTACTCCCCAGGTACTCCCGTTAAAACCTTTGATAACAATGACTAAAACAAAAAAAGACTTTGGAATTAATGGCAGTTATTGTTTAAAAAAGCATGTCATTTTTTTGACAGATGGTTAATATTTCAGTCTAAATTGTTAAAACTCGTCAACTTGGACTGTTGAACATAAACTGTAAATGAAGATCCTGGATCAGGTGACAGTCGGATCAGGTTCTATAGATATGTACCTTGTTTTGACTAAGACCTACCAGCAAAGTTTTTGTCCCTGTTTGTGCTTGTCTTATTATTACTATTTTTTTAACTTATATGTCTTTATTCAGTTCTTCTTCTTCTTCTTCGTCTTATTATTATTATTATTATTATTATATTATTATTATTGATTTACATATTTATTTTTTTGTAGTTTAACTGTCTCGATTCACTGCATTCCCGCAGCAAAGGAGATATTATACTTTTTCGCAATAAAGTTTCATCTCTCTGTAACGAAGTTTATTTTTTATTGATGACGAATCGACGTCGTGTTGACTGAAAAATTAAAAACTTAAAAAGTTCTCAGAGACATGTTTTTGTTGATCAATTTTATCTTTTTATCTCCCACAAATTGGTAAAGCAAATTATTCAGTGTCAGAGTCAGCGACCATTTAAAGCTGTCTAAGGTACCGTAATAGCTTGCTGGCTTGTGCGCGGGTTGTGACATTGCAACATGAGTCACGTTTTCAGTAAGAATATGCACAAATAATTAGGGGAAACATCCTTAAAAGACCAAAAGGCATTCGTTGTAAGTAAAGATCACACTATAACCAAGAGTTGTAACAGGTTTTTATTGATCCATTTTTGAACTTATGCCGACTGAGGGGCCATGATATGTTTAGTTCCTGCTTTTCTACCGTTGATATTTGTGATGCACCAAGAACCAGCTGCTGTATTACCATCATCCCTGATTGTATTCTCAAAAAGTTAAATAAGTATTGAAATAAATTCCAATTTCGGCGGTGTGCCGTCTAATGAGCTTTTTGAGCTCGAATTGACACTAAAGAATCCTTTATTAAAATTTGTGTTTCGTGTTCTCTGCGTCATCTGCAAAACTTGGCCTAGATGATAACATCTTCGGGGGGAGTACTTAAGCCAAGTTAGGATAGGCGCGTGTCATGAAGGTTTTTAGGCTTATTTTGTCAAGGGAAATAACGTCCATCAAAAAAAAATGACACCCTGTTTGAAGGAAAATCGGTAATGCAAAACGTTTACATGGACAATTCGTAACGCATACAAATTTGGAGTGAGTGTTGTTGGATGGTTTTTGTTAATAGTGCGTTAAAAGATACCTTAGTTTTAGGACTTTAAGACCGCTGAGGTCCCGTGATATTGGGCACTCTATCGAAGGACTACAGTACCAAATGAATGATACCCTACTTAGGGCAGGGCCTACAGGGTAGCCTTAGGTAATCTGAATGGGAGTCTCCTGCCCTCCCCCAGTCAGTTCAGTTAGAAAACAAATTTAAATAAGGGTAAAATGAATATTTTATTGTAGACTTTATAAGCAGTCAATGGGCTAAGAAATTGCGAAACGGAAAAAATAGAGCGGAAGACTGCAAAGTGGGGCAGGTGCTCGTGTGAAACATGCTTCAAACAGGCGAATGGAAACTTTGCAAAAATCTTCCTTTACCTAGGAAGCACAAACACGTCATTGCAGTTTTTTTATAACCTCTCACAATGACAGCAGCGGAGGGTTTGTATTCAACGCTGGTCACTAACTGCATCTTTAACGTTTTCTTGTTTTACACCGCTATCGTGTTAAACATCATAACAATACAAGCGCTGAGGAAAACGTCGTCGTTGCCAAGGACTTTGAAAACATTGCTCTTGAGTTTGGCTGCTTCTGATCTCGGTGTTGGTTTACTTGCCCACCCTGTTTTTGTTGCACAGCTCATTATTCAAATACAACAAAACACTAGTGATAATGCTTATGGTACAGTATTTAACATTTTCTCGGCCCTTCAGAAGAATATACTTGCTTGTGTATCGTTTTTTAGTGTTGTCGCTATAACTGTTGATAGATTCTTAGCCATTCATCTTCATCTCAGATACCAGGAACTTGTAACCCACAAGCGTGTTATTGCTGTAGTGATATCTATTTGGGTTATCAGCGCATTTCTTTCTTTAGTTTTCCCTGCAGCTCGTTTGGAATGGATTCCAAAAAACGTTCCTGGGATTATGTTTGCAGCCAGAGACGCTGTTTGTTTCATAACTACAGGATTTCTCCACTATAAGATATACGCATCTGTACGACACCACACAGGCCACATCCAAGCTCTGCAAGTACAAGACGAAGTACAGAATAGCGAAACGAAAAATGCTGTGAGGCTGAGAAAAACTGCACTTGCTACATTTTACATCTATTTCCTGTTTTTGGCTTGTTATGTGCCAATCTTTTGTGTCAACCTTGCCGATCTATTCTGTGATGAAACTGCCTTGATACAGCATTTGTGGGATTATGTTTTTACACTTATGCTTTCCAATTCATCTCTCAATCCTTTGATCTACAGCTGGAAGATGAGACACATTCGACATGCTGTTATAAACATACTTCGAAGCGTACTCCCGTGTCGCCACTAAAACAATTAAGGGCCTGTTACATGGAGGTGGGGGACCCTAGGTAGGTGTCGTAACCCGCTCAGATGGAGTGAAAATATAAACTGCGTTTAGACGCAATGTTGCCACCCCGTCATCCTAGGCTGCATTTTCTCAATATTATTAGATGGTCAATATGCATGTAAACCAAACAAAATGGCGAGAAAACGACTTGTGTTGGCGGTTAATTCTCTTCTACTCTGGCACTTGCTGCATCCCTTTAGTGTTGTGGCTTTCTATTGTCACTTTTAATGATGCAAAGCCTCGGCTAAAGGTAGTTAGTTGTTCAGTCAACGAATTTGTTGTAAACACGAATCCGAAATAGGCTAGGCGGGTTACCCCACCTTGAACACTTACGTGCAAAATATGACCCCCGCTGAGAGGGTTACACAGACTTGCAGACCGGCGGTTGGAAACAATTTCCGATTATACAAAAATAACGCAGATCTTCAAAACAACTTGACGTTACCATGGTAGCAAGTCCGCTTACGAAAATAATGATGACGTGTATTAAGGTGTTTCGATAGAGTTTTTCGGAGACCATACCGATATTTTTCAGTCGCCTTAAAGGGGATTTTATCCATGTCCGATCGCTATAAAATTTTGCCAGTGATTGACTATGGATTGAAGTTTGTCAAAACGTAGTTTTAACTAAAATCGATATTACTATGACAACAATAAACAAAAAAATTGGAAATTGATAAAAGCCGAATTTTGCGCAATCTATACCTGCTACTAAAAATCCAACACTAGCAACTTAAAGTTTGGTGTTTAGCAAATAACCTCCGTGAGAAGTAAAAAATTCTGTATGTTTGAATTCAAATAAAACGTAAATATATTTCAAACCTCGTATTTCAATAGCCGTGATAAATTAGAGGTCGACCAGTCATTTTAATGGCGAATAAGAATACAACGAAACCCGCATAAAGAACCCGTGATCTTCTGTGAAAGGCTGATTCAGAAATGGTTCTTAGATGTTGGATTCAGTAGTGATGAACCAAGGTGCGAAGTTGAGCACAGGTTCTTAGTTAAAGATGAGAATAATTGTCCACAAAATAAGTGGTATCTACTTCTCAGTAACATTATATTCACTCTCAGTATTGTTAATTTTTAAAAGCCCTTAAGACACCCACATCTGTACAAGTGTATAAGGGCCTTATACTACGCAGTTACTTTAATACAGCTGAGCGTTTCACTCTATCTAATCGCGTTTTTACGACTGCCATAGAAACATCGGCCAAGATGCGACGGAGAGTAATCTGTTAGGTTTATACACAGAATAGGCACATGAGAATAGGGTGTATGGGACTGAAACGCAATCTGATCTTTTAGAGCCATGTAATTTAGGGACATTTCAAAACGTAGTCTGGGACATCTTAAGACAACATGGTTACTTGGTCAATCCATTAATTGGAAAAAGGATACAGCAGCAGCAGCAGCAGCAGCAAGCACAGCAACAGCATCAGTCCCCATACCAAATGAGGCTGCCCAATCCACCCAAACATTAACCCCTCATCTTATACACAGCCAACTGATAACAATCCTCAAGCAGGCGACGCGCTCGATACGCGCCCCCTCTCAAGAAAAAAGACATAATTGTATTTTGTGCGTGCATCTATCACACAAGGAAAGAAACAAATCCGTTCAACTTACACCATCCACAAACAAACATTAAAAAATACTCGGCGGCAAGGAAAAAAGGCGCCGTTCTCTCCTTTCTTCAAGTATACATCAGGCTGCTCTTTCTTGTGAAAACTTGGTTCCCAGGTTCTGTCCTACTCGCTCCATAGGGACGGGTAGGAGAGAACCCTGGGATCGAGGTTGTTTCTTGTGACTTCTCAAAGGGATAAGGACAATCCATCAGTTTTGCTACCGTGATTTATAAAATAGTTTTAAAGAAGATGTGCATACAGCTTGTAAATTTTGCTTTAAATTCTTTGGATCGTCCATTTGTAGTGATAAAGGGGGTGTCAAAATACACCTTGTTTAAAAAGGCGGATAATGTATGTTAGCTATGCAGTCAAAAAAGTAAATAAGTAACTTTGTGTATTTTTATTTTCTATTTACGTTGATTGTACTATTACCATATTTAAGGTCCCTGTATCACCTCTCATCTCATAACGGTGGGTCGGGCTTGAAAAAGCTTCAGTTAACCCTTGTCAAAACCCCTAACATAGGTGATCATTTAATTTCTCCTCTTGGTAACTGTGCTAAATCAAAAATAACGGTTGTGAGAAAACAGGAAATGCAAGTAAAACATTTCTTGATTGTTATACAAATTCTCCTCACCAGTACCGAAGATAACATATACTGAACAGTGTGGAGAATGACGCTGGCAATATTTGGGTTAAGTGCTGCGGGTGTGGGTGGGGGCCCATTTGTGTCAGTATTACTTTCCTTCACACTAACCACATAAAGCGTAAGAAATTTCTGACATATATTTTCACTGGTACAAATAGTTTTTCTCCTTCTCGTTGAGCTCTTGACGTACACAGAGGATAAATGTTGATTGCGCAGCTTTACTTTCCAGCAATAGATACGTCTCTTTGACCCTCTCTCAGCTCCAAGAAGAAAATAAATATTTCTTCGCTTTTGTTCTATGGTTTACCCTTGGAATGCTATCAGCCCTAGTATTAACAGTTATAAGTTTATAGAACAATTTTGTAAGTTATTGTAAAAATATGTTACGTAGCTAACTTTGTAACGCCTTACATTTATATTCGTATTGGGTGAAGTCGGTTACATGACTGAATTAAAGAATTTGTCTTCTGTAAATGCTTTTTTCTTTTTCTTTTCTAGTCGTCTCCTACTTATCCTATTTACCTTTCTTTCAATATCCTCGATCCTTTGCTGCGGCCGGGAGCAGGCAGTTTTCTACAGATCACAGTACTCTTGTACTGTAACGGAATATGTTAAACATCAACGTCCTAACAACTCACGTGCGTGAAAGTTAAAACTGCTTAGTTTTGTAAGAATCTTCTGTCTCCTTTGTAAATGGCTTTACCATTTGTATGAACGCTGATTTTTGTCTCTTTATTAAAAGAACGTTCAAACCTTTTTTTCTGAAGATGAGTATTTTAAGGCAACGTAAATCCCTCATTAAACGTCCTTCCCCGTCGTTAATCACCGTCTTGGACGACACACTACCCCCTTGTCCCAGCCCGCCCTCTGGCTCGTTTGGTTACGCGAACATCGCATTAATTGTTCCCGCCTCCGGCCGCGTCACGTGACTTCAAATTTCGCGCCAGTAGTGTGGCCGTTTTACAAAGGGAACAAAATTTTACGGAAACAGCAACATGGAAACGTGAGTATTTTGTACACTATTTTCTTTACTTGTACCTAAAATTTCGAGCCAAGCACTAGGTTGCCTGCTTGCAGACGTCTCCTATTCCCTTTGTTGCACGCAGCACTAACGGACCATTGAAGTATTTATAGCCTTTAACAGTTCTATGGTTATCAGAGTCGAACTGTTTTTAAAAAGAAGGCGAAGAGATTCAAGAGGGCTATTGTAGGTCTCGGTATTCGCTAAGTTTCGCAAGATTTTCGTTATATATTGAACCAAGTATTGAAAGTATTATGCTGACCATTGAAGAATTTACTTGTCAAGCTTTAAACCATGAGTTATTTGATGAACAGTTTGCAGGGGTTTCTATATACATGTCAATGTCCGCGAGAAAGAGCAAAACAAGGAGGCCCCATTAGGGGGGGGGGGGGTCTTAATATCCCGTATCCCTGTAATTTTTTGACCAAATATCCCGTATCCCATAAATTCCGGTCACAAATATCCCGGAAATTAAAGTATCGGCCATTTTTCATATGTTACTTGCTACGATATATTTTATAATATTCGTTCACTGGCATTAAAACGTAAACTGGAAAAGTATAGTTTTCAAGGAGCTTATTGTGACAGTTGTTTAAACTGCTGTCATTCAAAATATGGTGGATATCAAGTGGAAAGTTAACAAATGTTGCCACCAAAATCACCTTTGTATACCAGTTGATATAATTAGCTTACCTAATGCCCTTAATTTCTACATATCGCCTGCTACCAAAGTCCTTTTTCATTTTGTTCCTTTATTAGTTAGTTGCCGTCCTGAGCATTTGGGGAGTATTCATAATTTACCTAGAGGGTGGGCTATGATGGTTTTGAGGGGGGGAGGGAGGGTCAGATCACTCTTTTTTCCTACTATGATTTAGGGGGGGCTGTGGAAAATTTCCAACGAAAATTACATCGAGCATAGCGGAGGGGGGGGGGGGCAACCATTTTTTTCCTGAAAAAGAAAAGGAAATGAAAATATGCTGTTGGGCGCTCTTATAATTCCTGTCTTTTATTTCATTTCGACAAAATGTTGATACAGAACTAGAGTATGAAACTTGATGCATGACGCCCACTTCTTGTGCTACAAGGTCTCTTTGCGAGTGGCTCAAACTCACTCTCGTCACCCTCCTTACTCTCGCTCTCCTCACTCTCACTCTCCTTACACTCGCTCTCCTCACTCCGTGTTTCCCCCAAGACATTGTCGTCGCCTTCGTCATCATCATCATCATCATCATCTGAGACTGCTTCTGGCTCTTGTAAAAGACGTTGCCCTGTTTCAGTCATGGTTCTCAATGCCTCAGCCCCAGTCTCTTTCAAATGAGTGGTAATCAGTTCCAGTTTTTCTTTTTTCAGCTTTTTTCCCAGGGTAACGAGTGATTCTTCCAAATATAATTAAGTCAAGTTCCGAAACGTAAAGAGAATTTAGCCCTTCAGTCAGAAGAAGCTCCTCCCAATTGTAATCTCCATAGCTCTTAGATGCTCTTGCGCGCCTCTTTTGAGCAGTTTCCTGAGTTCGTAGATTTTTGCAATAGGATAAGTGTTTTAAATGGTCTATGTAATTCTTAACCAGCTCCTCAGAAACCACAAAGGCTACAGAAAATTCAGCAATCTCTTTTGTTGCCAACTTTCCTTCTGCGAAATATTTTTTAATTTGCGCCCTATGTTAATTACCAATAAAGCTCAATATACCTGTCACAAGACTTTGATATGGCTGAGGGTGAGTTTGACATGTTGTACTTATGTGCTGGGGGAGGGGGGAGCTACGATATTTTCCTTTGATAAATCAACATCCCTCGAGGGGGGGTCAGAAAAAAAACCCTGAGATGATCAGGGGGGGCTTCAAAAAAATGAAAGGAAAAAAATAAGGAAATCATCATAGCCCACCCTCTAGATAAATTATGAATGCTCCCTTGGTTAATTCATGTGTTCTGTGCATGCAGTCCAGTGCACAAATGGTACAACTTGTGTCAAACAGCAGTTTATCTTTGGTATTAATCAACCATAGAGACATTAGTGTCATTAGTAAGCGTGGATATTTTGTTTCTCTTCAAGTTTTGTCTGAAAGGACCATTTGGAGACTGGTTTGTCGCAGTTGATTTTATAAATACACGACGTAACGTCATGAATGACTTTGACCTGCGCCATTACAGAGGTCTCGCCTCGATCAGGTGGCGCTGCCTCGATCGAGTGTTGGTGCGCTATTTTCAGTACTTCAAGTTACCCCCACATAGTGCCCATGATGAACCGATGACTGGTCAAACGGTTTGTTTTACACTTATATATTTTTCATTTATATCTAATCGTCAACAAAAATACAGAAAAGGACATGTATTTAGTATAACGTTTCTCAGCAAACATCTGATATGTTACAATTTTTTGCGAATATCCTGTATCCCTGAAACTATAACTTCTCAATATCCTGTATCCCAATAACTTTTTCCTCAAATATCCCGTATCCCGGTAATTTTTTCCGCGAATATCCCGTATCCCGAAAACCCCTAATGGGGCCTCAACAATGTCAACATTTGAAACAATAGTTTATACAAAAAAATCCCGTTAAGCTGCGACAAAATTGTTACGCCAACGGTAATATGTATGTAATAAATTTGCGGAAATGCAAGCCGAAACTTCGTTTGAGGAGACTGGCCGTTAAAGAATTGAAATTAGCCTGCGCGGGTTCGCGATAGTCACGCGCGCGTGAATTCTCTCCCTACACGTATATGATTGTCTGAATGGTGGGGCGAAGAGACCAGGTGATCGCTACCAGCCAATAACAACTACCTATTACATCGGAAACAGCAGCTGTAGCTTTGAAAGAAAGCATACAATTTTTTTTAACCAGATAATATAAAATAAAACGACTAAAAGGGAAGAGCACTCTTATCGTCAGTTAGGACTTGGTAATTCCTCCTTTTACGCAGCTAAATAACTTTTAGTACTCCCCAGGTACTCCCGTTAAAACCTTTGAAAACAATGACCAAAACAAAAAAAGACTTTGGAATTAATGGCAGTTGTTGTTTAAAAAAGCATGTCATTTTTTTTTACAGATGGTTAATATTTCGGTCTAAATTGTTAAAACTCGTCAACGTGGACTGTTGAACATAAACTCTAAATGAAGATCCTGGATCAGGTGACAGTCGGATCAGGTTCTATACATATGTACCTTGTTTTGACTAAGACCTACGAGCAAAGTTTTTGTCCCTGTTTGTGCTTGTGTTATTATTACTATTTTTTTAAATTTACATTGCTTTATTCAGTTGTTATTATTATTATTATTATTGATTTACTTATTTATTTTTTGTTGTTTAACGTCTTGATTCACTGCATTCCCGCTGCAAAGGAGATATTATACTTTTTCGCAATAAAGTTTCATCTCTCTGTAACGAAGTTTATTTTTTATTGATGACGAATCGACGTCGTGTTGACTGAAAAATTAAAAACTTAAAAAGTTCTCAGAGACATGTTTTTGTTGATCAATTTTATCTTTTTACCTCCCACAAATTGGTAAAGCAAATTATTCAGTGTCAGAGTCAGCGACCATTTAAAGCTGTCTAAGGTACCGTAATAGCTTGCTGGCTTGTGCGCGGGTTGTGACGTTGCAACATGAGTTAAGTTTTCAGTAAGATTCAATATGCACAAACAATTAGGGGAAACATCCTTAAAAGACCAAAAGGCATTCGTTGTAAGTAAAGATCACACTATAACCAAGAGTTGTAACAGGTTTTTATTGATCCATTTTTGAACTTATGCCGACTGAGGGGCCATGATATATTTAGTTCCTCATGCTTTTCTACCGTTGATATTTGTGATGCACCAAGAACCAGCTGCTGTGTTACCATCAGCGCTAGTTGTATTCTCAAAAAGTTAAATAAGCATTGAAATAAATTCCAATTTCGGTGGTGTGCCGTCTAATGAGCTTTTTGAGCTCGAATTGACACTAAAGAACCCTTTATATTAAAATTTGTGTTTGGTGTTCTCTGCGTCATCTGCTAAACTTGGCCTAGATGATTAACAGTTTCGGGGGGAGTACTTAAGCCAATTTAGGATAAGCGCGTGTCACGAAGGTTTTTAGGCTTATTTTGTAAAGGGAAATAACGTCCATAAAGGAAAAATGACACCCTGTTTGAGGGAAAATCGGTAATGTAAAACGTTTACATGGACAATTCATAACGCATACAAATTTGGAATGAGTGTTGTTGGATGGTTTTTGTTAATAGTGCGTTAAAAGATAACTTAGTTTTAGGACTTTAAGACGGCTCAGGTCCCATGATATCGGGCACCCTGTCAAAGGACCACAATACCTAATGAATGATACCCTACTTAGGGCATGGCCTACAGGGTAGCCTTAGGTAATCTGAATTGGAGTCCCCCCCCCGGTCAGTTCCGTTAGAAAACAAATTTAAATAAGGATAAAATGAATATTTTATTGTAGACTTTATAAGCAGTCAATGGGCTAAGAGATTTAACTGCGAAACGGAAAAAATAGAGCGGAAGACTGCAAAGTGGGGCAGGTGCTCGTGTGAAACATACTTCAAACAGGCGAATGGAAACTTTGCAAAAATCTTCCTTTACATAGGAAGCACTAACACGTCATTGCAGTTTTTTTATAACCTCTCACAATGACAGCAGCGGAGGGTTTGTATTCAACGCTGGTCGCTAACTGCATCTTTAACGTTTTCTTGCTTTACACCGCTATTGCGTTAAACATCATAACAATACAAGCGCTGAGGAAAACGTCGTCGTTGCCAAGGACTTTGAAAACATTGCTCTTGAGTTTGGCTGTTTCTGATCTTGGTGTTGGTTTACTTGTCCAACCTATTTTTGTTGCACATCTCATTATTCAAGTACTACAAAACACTAGCGATAATGCTTATGATTCAGTATTTGTCATTTTCTATCAAACACTTGAAGCTGCACTTGCTTACGCATCGTTTTTTAGTGTTGCCGCTATAACTGTTGATAGATTCTTAGCCATTCATCTTCATCTCAGATACCAGGAACTTGTAACTCACAAGCGTGTTATTGCTGTAGTGATATCTACTTGGGTTATCAGCGCATTTCTTTCCTTACTTTTACCTGCAGCTCGTTTGGACTGGATTCCAAAAAAAGTTCCTTGGATTATGTTTGCAGCCATCGAAGCTGTTTGTTTCATAACTACAGGATTTCTCCACTACAAGATATACGCATCTGTACGACACCACACAGATCAAATCCAAGCTCTGCAAGTACAAGAAGAAGCACAGAATAGAGAAATGAAAAATGCTGTGAGGCTGAGAAAAACCGCACTTGCTACATTTTATATCTATTTCCTCTTTTTGGCTTGTTATGTGCCAATGTTTTGTGTCAACCTTGCCGAACTGTTCTGTGATGAAACTGCCTTGATCCACCATTTGTGGTATTATGTTTTGACGATTATGCTTTCTAATTCATCTCTCAATCCTTTGATCTACAGCTGGAAGATGAGACACATTCGACATGCTGTTATAAACATACTTCAAAGCGTACTCCCAAGTCGCCAGTAAAACAATTAAGGGCCTGTTACATGGAGGTGGGGGAACCTAGGTAGGTGGCGTAACCCGCTCAGGTGGAGTAAAAATATAAACTGCGTTTAGACGCAATCTTGCAACCCCGTCATCCCGGGCTGCATTTTCTCAATATTATTAGGTGGTCCCTATGTATGTAAACCAAACAAAATGGCCAGAAAACGACGTGTGTTGGCGGTTAATTCTCTTCTACTCTGGCACTTGCTGCATCCATTTAGTGCTGTGGCTTTCTATTGCCACTTTTAATGATGCAAAGCCTCGGCTAAAGGTAGTTAGTTGTTCAGTCAACGAATTTGTTGTAAACACGAATCCGAAATAGGCTAGGCGGGTTACCCCACCTTGAACACTTACGTGCAAAATATGACCCCCGCTGAGAGGGTTACACAGACTTGCAGACCGGCGGTTGGAAACAATTTCCGATTATACAAAAATAACGCAGATCTTCAAAACAACTTGACGTTACCATGGTAGCAAGTCCGCTTACGAAAATAATAATGATGTGTATTAAGGTGTTTCGATAGAGTTTTTCGGAGACCATACTGATATTTTTCAGTCGCCTTAAAGGGGATTTTATCCATGGCCGATCGCTATAAAATTTTCGCCAGTGATTGACTATGGATTGAAGTTTGTCAAAACGTAGTTTTAAGTAAAATCGATATTACCATGACAACAATAAACAAAAAAATTGGAAATTGATAAGAGCCGAATTTTGCGCAATCTAGACCTGCTACTAAAAATCCAACACAAGGAACTTAAAGTTTGGTGTTTAGCAAATAACCTCCGGGAGAAGTAAAAAATTCTGTATGTTTGAATTCAAATAAAACGTAAATATATTTCAAACCTCGTATTTCAATAGCCGTGATAAATTAGAGGTCGACCAGTCATTTTAATGGAGAATAAGAATACAACGAAACCCGCATAAAGAACCCGTGATCTTTTGTGAAAGGCTGATTCAGAAATGGTTCTTAGATGTTGGATTCAGTAGTGATGAACCAAGGTGCGAAGTTGAGCACAGGTTCTTAGTTAAGGATGAGAATAATTGTCCACGAAATAAGAGGTATCTACTTCTCAGTAACATTATATTCACTCTCATTATATTCAATGGTCCTTAAGACACCCACATCTGTACAAGTGTTTTCTGACCTTTATTTTCTTTTGTTTTTGAATAAGATATTGCTTCATTTGTCAGGCTGAAGAGGTTCTTACATGTGGTTAACAAAACAAATTTCTGTCTGGGTGTCCTTATACTACGCAGTTACTTTAATACAGCTGAGCGTTTCACTCTATCTAATCGCGTTTCTACGACTGCCATAGAAACATCGGCCAAGATGCGACGGAGAGTAATATGTTAGGTTTATACACAGAATAGGGTGAATGGGACTGAAACACAATCTAATCTTTCAGAGCCATGTAATTTAGGGACATTTCAAAACGTAGTCTGGGACATCTTAAGACAACATGGTTACTTGGTCAATCCATTAATTGGAAAAAGGATACAGCAGCAGCAGCAAGCACAGCAACAGCATCAGTACCCATACCAAATGAGGCTGCGCAATCCCCCCAAACATTTACCCCTCATCTTATACATAGCCAACTAGTTAACAATCCTCAAGCAGGCGACGCGCTCGATACGCGCCCCCTCTCAAGAAAAAAGACATAATTGTATTTTGCGCGTGCATCTATCACACAAGGAAAGAAACAAATCCGTTCAACTTACACCGTCTACAAACAAACGTTAAAAAATACTCGGCGGCAAGGAAAAAGGCGCCGTTCTCTCCTTTCTTCAAGTATACATAAGGCTGCTTTTTCTTGTGACAGCCTCGTTCCCAGGTTCTCTCCTACTCGCTCCATAGGGACGGGTAGGAGAGAACCCTGGGATCGAGGTTGTTTCTTGTGACTCCTCAAAGGGATAAGGACAATCCATCAGTTTTGCTACCGTGATTTATAAAATAGTTTTAAAGAAGACGTGCATACAGCTTGTAAATTTTGCTTTAAATTCTTTGGATCGTCCATTTGTAGTGATAAAGGGGGTGTAAATACACCTTGTTTAAAAAGGCGGATAATGTATGTTAGCTATGCAGTCAAAGAAGTAAATAAGTAACTTTGTGTATTTTTATTTTCTATTTACGTTGATTGTACTATTACCATATTTAAGGTCCCTGTATCACCGCTCATCTCATAACAGTGGTTCGGGCTTGAAAAAGCTTCAGTTAACCCTTGTCAAAACCCCTAACATAGGTGATCACTTTATTTCTCCTCGTGGTAACTCTGCTCAATCAAAAATAACGGTTGTGAGAAAACAGGAAATGCAAGTGAAACATTTCTTGATTATTATACAAATTCTCCTCACCAGTACTAGTCTGCTACACAGCCGTTTTTAGTGTCGTCACGCAACGCTGTGACGACACTAAAAACGGCTGTGTAGCAGACTACACCAGTACCGAAGATAACATATACTGAACAGTGTGGAGAATGACACTGGCAATATTTGGGTTAAGTGCTGAGGGTGTGGGTGGGGGCCCATTTGTGTTAGTGTTACTTTCCTTCACACTAACCACATAAAGCGTAAGAAATTTCTGACATATATTTTCACTGGTACAAATAGTTTTTCTTCTCTTTGAGCTCTTGACCTACACAAAGGATAAATGTTGATTTTGCAGCTTTACTTTCCAGCAATAGAGACGTCTCTATGACCCTCTATCAGCTCCAAGAAGAAAATAAATATTTCTTCGCTTTTGTTCTATGGTTTAACCTTTGAATGCTATCAGCCCTAGTCTTACCATTTATAAGTTTATAGAACAATTTTGTAAGTTATTGTAAAAATATGTTATGTAGCTAACTTTGTAACGCCTTACATTTATATTCGTATCGGGTGAAGTCGGTTACATGACTGAATTAAAGAATTTGTCTTCTGTAAATGCTTTTTTTCTTTTTCTTTTCTAGTCGTCTCCTACTTATCCTATTTACCTTTCTTTCAATATCCTCGATCCTTTGCTGCGGACGGGAGCGGGCAGTTTTCTACAGATCACAGTACTCTTTCTTGTACTGTAACGGAATATGTTCAACATCAACGTCCTGACAACTCACGTGCGTGAAAGTTAAAACTGCATAGTTTTGTAAAAATCTTCTGTCTCCTTTTTAAATGGCTTTACCGTTTGTATGAACGTTGATTTTTCTCTTTTTTAAAACAACGTTCAAACTTTTTTTTCTGAAGATGAGTATTTTAAGGCAACGTAAATCCCTCATTTAACCCCCTTCCCCGTCGTTAATACCCGTCTTAGAGGACACACTCCCCCTTGTCCCAGCCCGTCCTCTGGCTCGTAGTTATGCGAACATCGCATTCCCGCTTCCGGCAGCGTCACGTGACTTCCAATTTCGCGCCAGCTGCGTGGCCGTTTCACAAAGGGAACAAAATTTTACGGAAACAGCAACATGGAAACGTGAGTATTTTTTACACTATTTTCTTTACTTCTACCTAACATTTCGAGCCAAGCACTGGCTTGCCTGCTTGCAGACGTTTCATATTTCCTTTGTTGCACGCAGCACTAGCGGACCTTTCATGTATTTATAGCCTTAAACAGTTTTATGGTTATCAGAGTCGAACTGTTTTAAAGAAGAAGACGAAGAGATTCAAGAGGATAGGGCTCAAAAGCTAACGACTACCTGGTCGCATATGCTACTGGATTTTTGGTTGTGCGCCTAAAAATTCATGTCTAATCGCACCTGTGCGCCATAAAACCCAAAGCACAGTGCGACTGACTTGCTTCCGACTATACTTACGAACTCGAACTAGAAAGACAGTGTATGTTTAATCGGTCTTTTCTCCCAATGGGTTCTACGAACTTTGATGTTCTTTTTCGTTGTTTTTGGTCAGCACTCCTTAACATCCGTCGAAAGGCCCTCTTATCTTCGGTCGGATTTCGTAAACGTATGACGTCACGCTCGCCTCGTGTACATTTTGCTTCGATCGTCCACTCTGATTTGACTGATGATCTGACGGTTTGTTTCGAGGTCTTGTCTTGCTTTTTCGATCATCCCTCGATTGATTCAACCAAGAAGATGCTACTGCATCCGTTTGGAAATGATGTTTTAATGTTTTGCCTCGATCAAGCCTCTTAGCGAATCGAGAAGGTCCTTTCAGTGGATGTTACTGAGTAACATCCCTTGAATGGCCCCGATGGAATGGCATTCAAGAAAAATTACACAAACAGGCAAAAAAAAATTCAAATGAACCGCTGCCCCATCTAACAACTTTTTCAACATATTGGCGGGAATAATAGAAAATTATCCATACGGTAATGTCTGTCTCTGTCGAATAATAATGAATGCTTGCAACAACAACAAGAACAACAACTTTATTTCAGTACCCAACATTGATTTACATAATACAAAAAAATAGATATAAATATGGAGAGAGTACAGGGTGCCCATAATAACCATTGAGGGCTAAAAAGATAGGTCAGCCTTACTAAGGTTATTAATAAATGATTATTAAAGGGTCGGAGACCACACACTACACACGGCTATACAAAACATTTACAAAAGGAAAAAAAAAACTAGTGGAAAAGGAAAGACAGCAAAAGAAAGCTAAGTATGCCAGTATTAAATAAGGGAAATCCAAACCTTGTACTAAGCTGTCTGATAATTTCCCGGGAGGAAGGGTGGGTGGGTAGTTAACAAATTTTTGTATAGGGAGGCTCCGCCCGAGGTGCAACCCTTACCCTTTAATATACCATTTTTCACGAAAAAGGTACCCTTTTCGTATAACTTCTGTTGACAAATGGTACCCCTTTTACATACTTCGTTTAGAACATTGCATCCAATGCATTGTCATTTAAATAGGAATAAATCCAAAAATAGAACGTTTCCCCGACTTTATAAAGTCATAAAATTCATCTGTTCGGCCCTTTGGGCCATTTCACAGACCCAAATGACAGATTTCCCTACCCTTTTAAATACTTCAACGAGTAAAATTCCTACTCTTTCATATACCTGAAGCCTGAAAAAAGTACCCCTTTCGGACAGAGCTTCCCCGTATAGGACCCTAAAGGGAGTACCACCCCCCCTCCCAGGGATAATTTATATTATGTTTCATCCGCTGAAGAAGCCCAGAAGCTAACCAACGATTTTGAGACTCTAAATTATTACCGTAAAATTTTCCTGCTCTAAGGCAAGCAAATGCTTTGGAGGCACAGGTGAGAAGTAGCTATATTATTATAAACAAAGTGGGCTGTTGACCCAATCTTACCTTAGGGACTGGTCATTATTTATCGGGAGGGGGGTGCTGGTGCAATGTAAAATATGCCATGCTTGATTTTTGCTGACCCCCCCCTTTTACTTCAACATGATTTTTGCTGACCCCCCCCCACCTCCCATCCCCCCTTCTCCTCCGGCATGCATGAAACAAAAAGGATGTATTTATCAAGTCACCATGTCCAACTGATAGTCATTCTATTTAAAGCTACTTTAAATTTGGATTTGAGTTGCTCTTCGCCCACACCGTGTGTAGACAATTGTCGTATTGACATTAAAGTTCTCGGTGCTCTCAATCATTTTTTCTTCTTCAGTCAACTCCTCTTCCTCTTCCACTTCTTTGTACTCATTTCTCCAAAGCAGGGAAACTGCTTCCAGGGCACAACCACCCAAAAACATTTAATGAAAAACTTATTGGCATACTTATAAAAGTTAAAGAAAGGGTGATAGAAATACAAGAAAGCCTTAAGGAAAAGTTAGAGAAGACATCAAATATGTTCCAATATGCCCCCTATGTGAATGCAAAAACCAAAAAGCATTCTCAGAAAGAGAGCCGAAGGAAAGCCAAAAGAAGGAAAGTTTCGAGAAAATCTGCCAACATACAGAAAGTGCGAGAGTTTATTTCGAATGCTTCTGCATCTGAAGTAATTCAAATCCAAAACCTAAAATTGGAAGTTCTATCTACATTATCATTGTGTCAAGTAAAATATCTACAACTTATGCATGAAGATAGACAACTATCTACTGAAGCTGTAAACTTGATTAGTGAATATGTAGACAATTTTCCAAGAAAAGAAAACACTAACCTAGAACCAGATAATGCCCATGATGATGACAGTAATAATGATGATGATGATGATGATGATGATGATGATAAAGACAACAATGATATTGATGATGATGCAGACAATGATGACAATGGTGATGATGACAACAATGGTAATGGTGATGATGACAATGATGATGATTATTAAATGCTGAGGACAACAACAACAATGATGATGGTGCTGGTTATGTTTACAGTAGAAATAAGATCAATGTTGCAAGATACTGATTTGTAAGTGTTGATAAAAAATGTTGTATAAAGCTATTTTAATAGACTGTATTTGTTGATGGCATCCAGATGCAGCTTTTAACATTTCTGCTGGCAATACGTTTGCATATTTTTTAATGGCCCCCTTAAGCCATGCATAAAAATGGTGGCCCACCCCTATTTGCACCAGCCCCCCCCGATAAATAATGACCAGTCCCTTAGTTACTGAAAAGCAAAACTTAATAATTACCTGTACCGATCAAAGTCTGGGTATTCCCGCCTCCCTCATATGGAAGCCTCACCCCAGGGATAAAGCACTAGAGGTCTGGAAGCCTTAGAAACACGGCTAAGCGTTTTGAAACTCAGGGGAAAGGGGAGCAGGGTTAGGGGCACATCGAACACCAAGCCAAGCGCATAGCACTGCTTGAATTTCCCAAAATGTCATTTGCTTTGTTCGTTGGCACAAGCAAACCTCTGTGAGATCTTAACAGTGTCCATAGAATCAGTAATCGACATTTGGGTACGCGTAAGTAGGCAGTTGTTCAAACAAAGGCTAAGACGATCCTGCTTCATCTTCTTGAGTCATCGGGGGGTAAAAAAAGGAATGCCCTGGATACTACAACTGGTGTTCAATAAAATCTTAACTTTTCCACTTGACCAGTTTTGGGTTAAGGAACATGGCTGCACTGGTGGTAGGGAAGGGGGGTGTTGGAGAAGCCCCCTCTGCTATCTAATAATTAAAGGCAATTCCCTTTCAAGAAAACAACTATCACTTTGGCTGAGTTTCTCTGCATGGTAAGCATATTTTGCATAGTATTGCCAAAATTTGTAATAGCAGTGACTATGATATAGTAATTGATCAATAATGATGTAATAGTAATGATTATAATATTATAATTTGCATTGTTTGACAAAGTAATGTTTTTAAACTTTCAGTATTCTGAACATCACTCATGTTGTTAAACTACTGTTGTAAATAGTAGCATTACTGCGCTTTTCACAAACATGCGAATTCAAAAGCCAACTGAGAATTGCGTTTTTCGCTGCCATCAATCATGGTAACAGACCTCTTAGGAAACAAAACTTTACTTTAACGGGTTCAAACGGTAATGGTTTGTGATTTGTAATTGGTGGATTTCAATCCGTTTTGTGTGTTTCTGTGTTTCAAGGTTCGTTGCTTGTGATCGTAATTATGATTGACGGCAGCGAAAAACGCAATTTTTGAAGGCACCTTTTGACCTTTAGAGTTCGCAAGTTTGTGATAGGCGCAGTAACATTAGTACATGACATTTAGTTCGCAGCTGAGAACTTGAACAGGAGAAAAAAATCCCAATTTTTATTTCCATCAGGTACTGTACAGAAACTTTGTTAACAGACACATCCTATAAGCTTACATGCACCTCTTACTAACAGACACTAATCTGGATTCACAACAATTTCTATGTTAAAAATCTGCAGTTACAAACTATTGTACATAAAGACATCTTTTGTTGGTAACAATGACCCATATAGAGGTACATGATAGATCATAGCTAGCAAATACTCCTCTCTCCAGCCACATGGGGCACTTGGCTGAACAGATGCCTTTCACAAGCAGTATAATTCCAGAGTAATTTGGTCAACACTTTGATACTGAATAAGAGAACAAATTAACACATACATAAAGGGAAAAGGAGGATTGCGAGTGCACTAAAAATAAATCCAACAGTCAAATCACACGGTCGATAATGCACATAGAAAACCGAAGGGACGGTTATTGATGATCAAACAAGGATAAACAATCTTTCTGTTGAATAATTACTTTTCCATGTTTGCTTTTGCTTCATGAAATTAAATGGCACCTGCTCTACTAAGAAAATGCCGTAAGTCGATTAAGTCTTAATCGACTTACGGCATTTTCTTTCTTTCTAGAATGACATGCCTTAACTGCGAATGAAAGAAGTTGAAGGAACATTTACAGCAGAAGAAGCTTTAATGT